AAGGAAAATAAAGTTATGAAAGGTAACTAAAGTTATGAAAAGTAACTAAAGCTTATAAAGTAACTAGAGCCTATAAGAATCAAATCTTACAATTACAAGCAATATTTATCAAACAGTGTGTTCAAAATTACTATTGATTTTTGGTCACAAATGCACACAGATACAAAAATTCCAATTTACCAGCGCTCCACTGCTGAGCAGGATCATGAATATGATGAAGGATTCAAACCAGTTGTGCTCCACTATGACAAAGCAGGTTTTCCTGAGTGTCCACCAGCTCTTATACTTGCCACTTTCCTCGTTAATTTGGCAGCACTGGAACCTCTGAACACAACCTGCAGAAAAAGGGTATATGTGGAGAGAGACAAATAAGAAATGACCACAGGGAGGATTACGGGATCCATGCTAACTAAATGTTAGCAATGTCCCAATCTGATACTATCGGTATCAGTGTCAATCTGGGTATATTTCACAGGATCGATATTGGCTGAAATAAAGCTGTTCCAATTCTGATCTTTATTTAGAACTACAGTCTTGTATTTGACCGGACCCAGTCGCATTTTTGAGATGTGCGCATCAGCAACTGATAAGCTGCTATATTAAGCAATTCAGCTGTCTATATTGCCTGTGTGTGAGCTGGAATACATGTACCATATCACTTGCACTTCATGCGCATAGCCGTGACCTGAAGCCTAATTTTAGCTTCAAGTCTATTTTTTCAGAGCTACGTATAACGCTGCACACAATCCACCAAAACAATGAAAACTCACTAGTTCCAAACAGAAATCCACCAAAACAGAGAAATACATCAAGCAAAAACAGTTAAAACACATGATCTATCAGCTGTTATGTCAATCCCACTGTACATGGTAATTCTTTAAGTGTGTGTAGTTTTTATTTGTTGTTTTACCATGGGTTGGATACACTATACAGTACATATACATGCAAGCGTAGCTAGTAATTCCCTCGCTGTCCATTTGTACGAGTTTTCCCTTCTCGAAAGTGTTTCTGTAGGCTCCTCCTGGTGTTTCTGTACACCAAGTGCTTCCTATGCACAAGTAAACATGCATCTCAGCATAGACACAAGCACAAGCCTCCCGCAACGTATGTTATGCCTTCAGTGTAGACATGTTAAGTTTTATACTTCTGTCCAGTGGTGCTACTACAGCCACCACCCTCTGTTAATGCAGTGTTATTAAATTGTTAATTAGGGATATATGAACTGGACTGATTACACAAACTGATTGTTCATATATGGATATGAAGTAGTAGTACATATCTGCCCTGTGATGAATCTATAGTTCTGAGTGTGTTGTCCATCTCCAAGGTATTCTTTTATTCACATCAATAATTTAAGATGATAAACTTCATACTTTGGAACCAGGACCTGATCCAGTATTTGGATCAAGAAGCTCTTGAAAAATAGTGTGGCCAGATTAATTTCAATATGTTAGATATTTAATGAAGATTTACTGCAGATACTGTAAATATAGGCATCGGATCGGTATCGGCTGATACTTAATATTAAAGGAACTGGAACAGTGTCATGGCCAAAAGACCTAGATTGGGACATCCCTACGCAAGGTGACTGTTTAATTAAACCAAACATTCTCTATCTTCTTTCCATAAGTCATTAAATGGATTTTCCAAATGTAGTAGAAATTTTAATCAAACTTTGAGAAAATAAAAGCAAAATAATGTTTCCTTCCACTAATATTATGTGAATATAAGAGTGCCAGTCATGCTTCACATAATTTTTTTTTATTCATTTCGCTTTTATCAAAACCATCTTTCTTACCTTATTTGTTTTATCTTGGTGCACCAGGTCTGAGTTTAGTTGCTACCAGTAGTTTCTAATCTAATCTTAGCAAATTCCACTGTTAAAAAATGTGAACATGAAACATGAAAACACTTCAAACATTAAATAATGAGATACAGTATTAGAAATATTCAGTGCTTTGCATCCCATCTCTGATGATTAAACACATTTAATTCTTTATTCTGCACTTATGAAAGACTGAAAAGTATCTGCAGATTCAGAATTGTACTGAAGGCATATCAGATAAAATGTCAGACTACATTACAAGCCATAATAATCCCACAGGCTAGTTTTCTTTCAGTTCTGCTGAGCAGTTGTATCCACTGTTATTCAGCAGTTCTAAGCAAAAGCATTTAACATGATGTACTCTACATCTGGAAATGGGCTGTGGAAGCCCTTCATCTTCTACTTTTCATGTACCGGCCCACTTTTCCACTACCTATCATTGATTCTGGCTATTGTTCTCGCATCCTTCTCACCCTCTGTGAAGCAGGCCTCTGGGTCCAGTGACTCCTCTGGTTCCAGCTCCACTGAATCAACCCCATCACCTGGGGGGCGAATATCAACTGTGCTCCCTTCCGATGAGCTCAGAGGCTGGGGCTCTGCATCAAGCTTCTGCATGTATGGGAAAGAAGATGAGTGTTCAGCGTTACACTGCAATGCCTGAAACCACAGAGGTGCTGTGGTTTTAGGAGCCAACCTTCTGAGCTTGTTATCATTGTGATTCTCCATTTACATGTGCTCCAGTGCCAAAACCTTAATGTGGAGACTAGGCACTGTGATAGCTCACAGAGTTGGGCTCTTTTAAGTCATCATCATTATATCACATGCAGCATTGATCAAATGTACCTACAGGCTTTGATATTATCTGATAGCTCAAGTCAGATTATGCAGCAGACATGGCATGGGGAGGTTGGCGTTACAGAAATGCACTGTGGGTACATTTGATGTGACCTCAATCTGAGGAGGAGTGCATGCAGTATTCCAGTGCATTATCAATCTAAGCCTGAAATAGTACCAAGCAGAACATGTGCTCAAGTATTTTCATGTTCACTGAAAAATGAGCCCCAGGTCAATTTTTCTGTAATGTATAGCATATCCAAAAATCACTTTTATGAATATAAATTTCCCCACCTCAAAGCTTGAATCCATCCAGAAAGAACTGCTGAACATTTTGACAGTGACATGAAAACACATTTCCATTCCTTGAAAGCAGTGTACAAGCTTCCTCTGTTTGTGTTGAAGTAGACGGATAACCACATTAGCTTACCAGCAAAAACCAGTACTGTGCACTGTTTATAAGACAGCATGTGGTCTCGAATTTGTTTTTGTTCTCATTTGTAAAACAGAGAATTAGCACCCATGCATTCCCAGAAAACATACAGGACTAAGTGTGGTTCACAGTGATTTTCATCCTTCTACTCAGAGACATGCAAAACACATGTAAGGACAAGTGTTGCTGCTGTTGTCAAGTTCGTTTTACTCCATCTTCACTGCTAAATCTGATTTTTGAACCCTGCCAACACCCCTCTGAAACTCTAAAACAGTCTTTGTTTTTGCAGTAAGACTTTCCAGTGTTGTGAGGCTTCCTGTCTGTTTTTCGTAGGGCAAACATGGTGTCATGTGGCCTTATATCTGATCTGCCTGACGTGTGATATACTGTATAGGAACATGTCATCCTAGACAGTGCAGCAGCCCTGATTGCCGTGGGACCCAGCTAATACGGCATGGGAATGATGGAAGCATGCTGCTCATAAGTGCATCGTTTTCTGGAAAGGTGTTTTCCTCCAGTTTTTTCCTCTCTCTTTCCTTCAGCAAAAGACCCATTTTACCTCTTCTGGAAATGGCTTTTACTCTTAACCTACATTCTTTTATTTGACAGATTTTGTTGCATGTTTTACTATATGTATGTATATATATAAATAAATATATATATATACATACACACACACACACACACACACACACACACACACACATATATATATACATACACACACACACACACACACACACACACACACACAAGTTGGGTGAGATAGTTGCAGTGGAACGAAAGTGGATAACACAGGCATAGAAAGACATACTGTAGAACAGAATAAACTAATCCACAATAACTACCATAACAAGTTGAATTTAATGTAATTTGGGGTGGAGATTCCAGGGTTTTCCGACATCTTAGGCACTTTTTTTAAATAACATATTTATAATGTATTTTTGAAGTATCAACTAAGTAGCTTCCTTGGCTAACATAACAGCTAATTCAGTACATGTTAGGTACAGTAGCAATTTCTTTACTTGTAAAACAGGCCACATTCTGCTATTTCTATTGTTACCATTGACAGGAAATATCTCCCCAGTAAAGTTATATCCTACTTCATGTGTTCTTTATGGGGGCTAACCTTACTGATGGTTGTAACAACCTCCCTGATTTGACAGTGAAATATCCAATCAGCTGTTTGATTAGCTTGGCAATGCTGGCAATCACACAAATGGTCAAACACTGATTGTTGATTGACAGGTCATTCCTGTTGCCAGCTTATGTTTTATTTTGAGATCAAGTCACCTCTCCATTGTTTTTCAGCACAAATAATTCATCACTGCTTTTTGCCATTGATTCAGCTTAGGTGCTCTGCAGAAACAATTAGGCATCACACCTGAGCCTTTCTATGGTAAGGAAAACCCCAAGATTCTTAAATTTTATATTTGAGGATGAAAGAAAATGAAGAAGTTACCCTGAGCTGGTGCATCATCATATAGTAAATAGTCTATTAAACTGCCACGTGTTATCTGTTTTGAAACCCTGCAAAAATCAGCACTGATTAATCAGTTTTAAAATTATCAAGGATTCTTGAAAGAATCTTTCAACATTCCACTCTTATTTGAGTATCACATAAAACAAGTATGTACAAGTATTTCATGAGTGTATGCATGGGCTATGAACCAGACAAATGAATTTTGTCAAACTACACCAAAATTCATTCCATTTTTCTGTTCCCCTCATTCTCCTCCTCTCTTCATTCATTCTCAAGCTCAGTGTGTTGAATGCCAATCAAGTCCCAAAACCAAGTCAAAACCAAGCAATGAATTCAAAAGCCAAGATCATGTTAGATGGTTTGTCTATCGATGGATAAAGGTGGTGTGGCTCATTCTTAATGGTTTGTAACTGCGATACAGCCTGATGCTTGTGGATAAATTATGAAGGGCAGGGGGAAGGGGGTAAAGGGAAAACAGAATTGAGTGTGCTGCTGTAGGGGGGAGGGGGTATAAAGCAAAGAGGGAGGGGAGGGGCGGGGCGGTCGAGGGGTATACATAGGGTAGACCAGGCAATAAACAAAAATGGGCAGTCCATTGAAGGCATGAGAAAAAATATGCTGGTTGCCTGTAAATGGCATAGGCAGTCCTCATGGTTAGTGCTATGGTACAGTAAAGTGGTCTTACAATTCTCCTCTCATTGAAAACCTTGAGAGCACCTGTGACACAGCTGCAATAACAAACGGGGGGTTAAACAAAGTCATAAGTCACACACACCAACAGCCAGCATACAACCTCAAGTCTGCTGTCACTGGTCAGCCACAAGGCACAGTGGGGAACATGTTAGTCGTAGAGAGCGATAATTTAGATTTTCCTCAAAGCATATTTCTTATGAATGGAATGGCTACAAGGTGTAAAGATCAGCAGAGATGTTAGAGAGCACTGCCTGATCCATATATGCAGCATGTTGTGCCAGGGCTAGAAACAGTCCCCTGGGTTGCTTTGAATCATAGGGAATTGGCACCACACCCACAGTGGCAGGTTGATATCACCGGGGAGCATAGTCTCCCAGTGCTCTGTCAGCCTGGCAACACTTAACAGCAAACCTGGAGTTTGCTCTGTTAGAATAGGCTATGAATTACTAAAAAAGTAAGGGTTCATGAAAATGATGTGCCAGTGGTGAAGTATTGGTTTAGTTTCTGACGTACATATACACTCCATACAATATACAATCCATTTTGGTACAACATTATTCAGCAACATATGAAGCAAGCAGTGCCTTTAGCAGGTGTATATATTATAATAGTGAGCTGCATTTGCTGTTAAGTCAGCTATGTAAATTTTACACAAACCCACTAACACATACAGTACACGTAAATTAGTGCACAAAAAAAAAAGAACCGGATACACGAGTCAAATTTGAGATATTATTTGTCATGGGTTTTTCTTGTTCTGCTGCCAAGGGCTTTAGAACTCAGGATGAACTCCAGAAGACTCCCTCAACATGATGTATGTACAGACGAGTCAGTAGGTATGTTATTTTCAAATAGCTTGTTGCAAAATTGTCTGAAATCTCTGTGCAAACGTTGACATATTCATTTACTGACTTGCATTAACTATTATACAAATACAAAGCTGTGTGACAGTTTTCTACAGACTCACAGGTAAGTCATCCATTTAATCAAAGTTGTTTGTCTTACCTCTTTGCTGCCCTCTATGTCAGACGAGTCGCTGCTGAAATCTTCGGTGTTCAGGTTCTCAAAGTCCGACTCACCCACAGCGATGGGCACAGTGACAGTCAGGCTGGGGTTATGAATAAATGACATGTAGTCACATTCCTCTATGGGATATTTCCCTGCAGTGTCCCCAACCATTAACCCTCCTCCAGGCCGTCCATTGCCCTCTGTCATGTACACCCCACTGGGGTCTTTGGTGATCTCCACTGAAGTGTGGTTGGAGATGCAGTTGCCTTTGCCATTGCTGTGCAGTTCATCCAGGGGTTTGCTCTCCTCAGCCAGACCAGAGCCCTTACCACCTGCACTGAAGCAGAGGCTCTGAATGAACTGCCGCACTGTGGCTTTGACAAACGCGATGCCCCGCTGGATCCGGACTACAGCAATCTGAAGGTTGTTCATCTCACTGTCATCGTCAGTCGCTGCCAGGTTGTCAGCACTAAATGAGCTCAGGAGGAGAGCCAGGAACAGGTTCAGAACCTGGAGGAAAAGAACATCAGGCAGACAAAATTAACCCAGGTCAACTTTATCACTTGTAAACAGGAGTTGTGCATTAAGGATTTGACTTTATAACCATTTCAGCCAATAAATAGTGTTACTGCAAAAGAAACAAAATACTGAACATACTGTATGCAATATAAGAACTACTATCTGAATCTTAATATTTTCAATACTAAAAACAAAGTAAGAAGAACCCCATACCACTAGGTTTCCAATGACCATGACCATCATGAAGACAATCAGGCACATCGTCTGTCCTGACACCTCCATGCAGTCCCACATAGTCTCGATCCACTCTCCGCACAGCACCCGGAACACGATGAGGAAGGAGTGGAAGAAATCGTGCATGTGCCAGCGGGGCAGCTCACAGGTATCAGAAATCTTGCACACACACTCCTTGTAGTTCTTGCCAAACAACTGCATGCCCACCACGGCAAAGATGAAGACAATGATGGCCAGCACCAGAGTCAAGTTCCCCAGAGCACCCACTGAGTTACCAATGATCTTGATCAGCATGTTCAAAGTGGGCCATGACTTGGCCAGTTTGAAGACCCTCAACTATTTTAAAAGAAAATGAAAAGCATCATGTAATTTTCTGGATCTGGATGGGCCGCTAATATGCAATAAAACAATAAATACTGTATATAGCCATAGAAACAGTTGGACATTTTGGGAAATACTCTCAAGAGTTAGATGGTAGGATTAAAATCACTCTTGTGTCTGTAAAATAAATATGACAGTGGTTAGCTGGTGACAAACTTCTTATCTAGAGGTGCAATGCTATTTGTTTAAGTACCAGAGCACACCTATGATACGTGCACGGCTAACACTGTTCCTACGTTGGCAATACACCAGCTGCGGTTACCAGCAGCTTTTAAGGTGGAATGTTTTCTTGCCTGTTAGTGTATGTTGACATCAGAAGTAAACCAAAAACCTTAAATTTTAATATGACTACTTAAATCATCCTAATTTTTGCTAGATATACGCTTAACTGATAACTGGAACTTCACGCTCTTGCAAAAATGTATATGAATTTCAGCCAGATTATGAATATTCTTTTTCCTCATTTGGACGAGTAAAGAGGCTGAGCATTGTTCTAGTGCGCTCCAGCAGCACTACACCAATGTTCATATCTAACTTTTGGTAAAAAGACCAATGAGCAGGTTTCCAAAACTGTCCAACTGTTGATCTGAAAGCTAATCAAGTGAACGGTAAAAAACATACTGTGCCCAAAAACAACAACAACTCTCAATGGGGCCTTTCATGTACTGCACAAAAGCACTCATTATATCATTACCTCATTCATACAGTAGCATGAATGTTAGTGAGACAGCCACTGTGGTATGACCCCAGAAGTACAGGTTCATCTTAACTTTTCTCATCTTAAGAGTACATAACTCATGCTTTGTAGCTTCTGTATAAGATGTTACTTTACCAGTGACTCTTACCAATCTAAAGGACCTGAGCACAGACAGGCCCTCTACGTTGGCCAAACCAAGCTCCATCAGACTGAGACTGACAATGATGCTGTCAAAGATGTTCCAGCCCTGCTGGAAGTAGTAGTATGGATCCAGGGCAATGATTTTGAAGCACATCTCTGCTGTGAAGATGCCAGTGAACACCTAATGACAAAGAGGACATAATTCTAGTTTTATATCTGAATCTGAGTAAATAAGTGTTATAAGTGCTCTTTTACAATTACTGTGTATTTTTTCTAGTTCTGACAAGTTCATAGCAAAGCATTTCACACAGTACTTGCCAGGTTTCCGACTGTGAGAACATTATTGAAATCTTTAGTCATAGGGTAATGCTCCATGGCCATGAAGAGGGTATTGAGAACGATGCAAATTGTGATGGCTAGGTCCACAAATGGGTCCATGACCACCATGTTAACAACCTCCTTGATTTTCAGCCATACTGGACAACAATCCCAGATCAGACAGGTGTTGGCAAATCTATACCAGCAGGGGGGGCACTTCTGTCTCGACTCTTCAAGCTCTGGAAAAGGATTTAATTCTGTAGAATGATTCCTTTATAATGTATATGCTGTCCCCTCACTCTCCAGATTTAAAATGTATAGACAAGCAGCAAATAAAGTATAGGAAAATAAGTATACAGCCTGATCCTGACCTTCCATGGTGTTGGTGAGGATGCTGGCCACACTCATTGCTCTCTGCCTGCCCACTGGTTCATCCAAATAATCCATAGATGGCTGGTGAAAACCTGACCGACATTTCTTCAGCTCACTATCTGTAGTTGTTCCCTGGACAAAAAACAAAACAAAACAAAACAAAACAAAACAAAACAAAGAAAAGCATAAGATATGAGCAAAATATTGCTGAAAGAGAAATAGTGCAGCATGTGAGTGAAACAGGTTATGATGTTGAGCCCATATGAATGACTTACACCTGGTCTGACCACTGTGTGGGCATATAGGGACTTAACTGATACATCTAACCCTCTCTGTATCTCTGCTGTCCCTTGCAAGACCCTGCCCTTGCCCCGTATCAGCTGGGATCAGTTTCAGCCTCCCGCTACCCCTCTGTCTCGCTTTTTCTATAAAAATATATTTACAACATCAAAACAAAATGATGGTAATAAAAACTACTACAGAGTAAAAATTTGACTGAGGTAAATGGCAAAACAATGCATTAAACAGTTAAGTCACCTCAGGCAGCAGCAGACCTACAGGTGAGGTTGTTACAGAAGTTCCACCAACCAGCGACACCACACCATTGCAGTCTACGGCGCAGTGCATCTTGCCGTTGACAGGCAGCATGATCCGTGGCGCCCCAAGGCTGGTCTGGCTGACGGCACTGCAGCGGCGCTCGATGCGGCGTGGCAAGAACAGGGAGCCCCGTCGACTGTCGCTCTCCTCGAAGGTGCTGTGCTCATCATCTGCAAAGTCGTTCTCAGAGCCCATGTCACGCGCACGGCCACGAAAACTGAACAGGCTGGCACGGCTGTTCCTCCGAGGTGAGAAGAGGGATCCACGAATACTGAGGAGAGACTGAGAGAGAGAAACCGAGAGAAAAAGAAAAAGGGATAATGAGGTTAGAGGGGGAATGGAGGTAGAACCCTGGAACAGTGGGGGAAGACTAGGAGGGGACACCAAAATATAACATTTGGTGTTGGATGATCCTGAAAAGAGGGAAGGACAGTAGTTAGACAGGGTGGGATGACATGAGACAGAAACAGAGGAAAGAATGGAGTGATGGAAAACATGAAGAATGACAAAAATGCCACAAAAGGACAACTGTGAATAATGTGATGCCTCTGTGAGGGCTGAACTCACTGGGCTTTTTGGAAACCAACTGCTGCAAGTGCAGTCACCAATACAGTACATACTTTGCACTGACATTCAATATTTTTCATCTTTTAATAATTTGATATCATAAACATTCACAGATTGTGTTGACTGTTATTTTAATTGTTTTTAAGGAATAATTTAGGAAGTACTTACCTTTGTTTAAACCACATGTCACTTTAAACTATCAATATTATTACTGTCAATACTAATGTTATTGATTAACCACTCAGGATCATGAAAAGACACTCTGTATGCATGTTAATTTTTTCTCTGGGAATTATAAGCATAACTGTGAGACAATTTCTATCCAAAACCATTAGTCTACTATTAGATGTCAATGGTGAAACTCTAAACAAAGCTGTCACTAACAACTAATCTAGCACTCTGAGCTAACAGGCAGGTTCCTTCTTGAAATACTACATCATGCCTACTTGTGCAGCTCGCTGATGACGTCGCTCAGAAACCTGTCTATAAATCTCAGTAATTAACACGTTACATCTTGTTTGATTAATCTGTACAAAAACCAAAGTGTAAAACAAAAAAACAAAAATCAGAGCCAGGGAAGCTGAAAGGTGAGAACCTTTCTGCAAGAACACAACTAAGTGCGTTTCTCAAAATGCAGTAGTATTCCTTTAACTTACAAAACAAACTGCATACTGCAAAAAGTGCAAACAAAGTTAGATTGAATTGCTGGGTTCTCATATTTGTTCTGAATGGCTTTAATTATATAAGTATGAGGTGACATACTGTATCTGAAAGGATCAGCCTAATTTTACCAGCAGCTCTTATTAGGGATGTACCAATACAATACTAAGTACAGTGGAACCTTGGATTGTGAGTAACCAGGTTTGCGAGTGTTTTGCAAGATGAGCAAAAAATTTTGATTTGATATACGAGCGAGGTCTGGCAATACGAGTAGTATGTATGCTTTGTCTGCCAAGCGTCACATGACGTATGTCACAACTGAGCCAATCGTCTTGCGCTTCACTCGTATAGTCAATATCTGTGCTGCAACAATGGCCCCTCACGCCAGCCACGATTCTTTTCAAAGGTAAAGTGCAGGTTAATTTGTTTTATTTTTACTTTATACTATATTTTGTATTACTGTAATCATTTTTATATGGATAAGTGGGTTTGGAACGAACCACCTAAGTTTCCATTATTTCTTATGGGGAAATTCGCTTTGATATATGAGTGATGTGGATTACGAGCATGTTGCCGGAATGAATTATACTCACAATCCAAGGTTCCACTGTATCAGTATCGGCACTGATCCACGCATATTTCACAGGATCGTAACAGATGTATCACGCAACCAATAAGATGCTATATTCTTTTATTTATATCAATAATTTAAGTTAATAAACTTCATACTTTGGAACCAGGCCATGATGCAGTATTTGGATCAAGAAGCTCCTGAAATTTTCAGTGTGGCCATATTAATTTCAATTATACACATTCGGTGTAGATAAATATAAGTATTGGATCAGAACCTGTATCAGCAGATACTTAATATTAAAGGAATTGGAGCAGTCTTGGGGCCAAAAAAAAAAAAAAATGGATCGGGACATCCCTGGTTCTTATATTAGGAAGCAATTCATCTGCTTTGTCAGTAGTTTGTACCTGGTTTGGTGAGGAACACCTCTTCTCATAAGAGAGTCTGTTGGCATCAATAGAAAAGCGGAAGCTGGACCTCTTGATGCTGTTCTCGGACTCAGACTTGCGGAACTTGTCGCGGACCCCCCTCTCCTCCTCCTCTTCCCGCTGCTTCCTTTTCTTGCGCCTGTTGCGTCGCTCTTTGGCACTTTTCGAGCTAAGCTTTGATGTCCCTGAGGAGGAGGACTCTGAGGTGGGGCCCCCTCTCCCACTGTACTCTCCACTCTCTGTGGCTCCCTGCCAGCCAATCAGAGCACAAACACAGTTGTCATGGCGACCCAGTGACTGTCTCAAAGGCTCTCATGGACTAGAGCAGAGGAGAGAGCCTGGCTGCTGAGAGCAGCATGAAGAGCCAAATAAGCCTCAGACACCTTCTAAAAATGGACGCCTGCATGTTTTCATGCAAACCAAAACATTTGTGCATTCTTGCATTTAAAACATTCCTTGAAAAAGAGAAAAAAAAATGTGTGGATGCCAGATTAGGTAACAGATTTTCTGTTTCATAAGAACAGTAGAAAATGCTACTCGTACAAGCCAAGCAATACTGATCAAAATCCCTGTATAAAAAATACCACATCAGAAGCACCTTTACTACCATATTGCTTCATATTAGACTTTTTTTAAAGCACAGAAATCTTAACATAAAATGCTTTAGGATAGATAGGTGGGGGGGGGCGTGAGCTTTAGAAGAAAAAAGACAGAGCACTGCCAAAAACATCATCCAATAATTACACATTCAAAGAATACAGTATCTCACTGAATTTCAATTATTATATGTACAGCATTATAGTATAAGGATTTAAGAATCTGGCACAGTGACTACAGCACAACAATCTGAATGTGCACAAGCCTGAGAAGACTGTTAGGCCTGGAAGAACAGTCAGTGAAGGATCGAGCAGAGTTCCCAACCTTTTTGTGTCAACTGACTTTAGTATTACCAAACATTGATTTTAAATAAACATGTTCATGTTCAGAGACTGCAGCCATGTGTTACACCAGTAGCAGGACAGAAACAGACTGTCTGGCTTTTGACATCACAAGCTTCAATGTAACTGTCTGGCTGCCCAGGAACATAAGATATGGTTCTCCCTTGATAATGAGCATCGTGTAAAGATGACATACTGATTATTAAACAACCAGTCAGAGCTACAATAAGCAAAGGCCCATTATCCAGCATTTCACCTGCACTGTTCCCCAAGGGAGCAGCAAAGAGGTCTCAGTTATCCTCAGTTGCCTGAGGCAATACTGCTTTTCGCAGATGGTTCAGAACTATAAGCCAAAGAATCAATAGAGTCTCCCCAGTTACATACACTTATATCTCAAGGAATACTTAGGCTATTTTAGATGCTCCTCAAAATGTTAAAAGGTGCTAAAACTTATTTTTGAACAAAAAAAAAAAAAAAGATGCATGTCCTGCCTGTGCCTCCTCCTGCTGTCTCTTTAGCTGCTCCAGCATGGCCTGGAACTCCTCCTCCTTCTGCTGGGCCTCCTCAATGGTCGCCTGGTTCTGCTCATCATAAGCCATGGCCACCACAGCCAAGATCAGGTTAACCAGGTAGAAGGAGCCCAAGAATATCACCAGCACGAAGAAGACCATGTAGGGTTTCCCTGCCGCACGCAGTGTCTGATGGATCCATGACAGAGCAGAGATGAAAAGTGTGGAGGGTTGTTGTGTCATACTGCTGCAGTACAAACAGACTTAGTTTATAACAGTAAGTCTTGTCTGTTGCAGAGTGACACCCTTTTGAATTAACTGGATATGTTTGGTCAGATGTTTACTTATTAAAAGTAAGTCTAACTATCAACAACCTTTACAGGCTATTAATAAATATACCCATGGGACAAGCAAATTCCGTTCTCTATTGTGATCAGACATGAGACACAGTAATCTACCAGAGGCCCACCAACCTGCTGGTAGAGGTTTTCCCAGTAGTCCTGGGTCATGAGCCGAAACAGGGAGAGAAAGGCCCAGCTGAAGGTGTCGAAGCTGGTGTAGCCATAGTTTGGGTTACGACCCGCTTTGACGCATATATAACCCTCTGGACAGAGCCTGTAAAGACACATGGATGTTATAAACAACACTTCAAAAGCCATGAGTAGTATTTTAACATTAAAAAACAGATTAAGTTTTGCCATAAAGCATAAAACACATACAGTATTGCTTACTGTAACAAAGCAGGAGGGCCATCAGGTCCACAAATAGAATGAATGTGTTACTCTCCTCTACTAAGCTAACCCTAAGCACTACTCTTAGTGGTGCTTAGGGTTCTCGTAGTATAGAGAATGTGAAGTTGTTGTCACACCGTGATGAATTTTGGTTAAATGCGCCATTTTGAGAGCATTGCGCTCATTATCATATATAATGCTACACTACATGCATAAGTAAATCAAAAAAAGAGTTAGCTACAGTCAGCTAAGGTTATCTGTTCTGAATTACCACAGTCAGTAAAGTGGGGTTGTTCTCGATTCTTGAAGCTGTCTTCCTCTGTTCAAGGTCTGAGAGATAACCATGCATAACATATCACACTCCTGCAAGTCTACCTGCTCCTGATGATGGCTTCACAGAAGAAAATCAAAAAGTTTTAAACATCAACAGTGTCTGTGGGGTGACTTTGCAGCTTTGATAAATGTCTTAAATAGGACCTTAAATCTATAAGCTTCCCTTAGCAACATACTGTACACAAAAAGTACAGTTTCAACATTTGCCAAAACACATTGTGACATACAGCTATAGTTAACCAGCAGTTTAGATTCCTGGGATGCCTCAGCGCGGTGGCGAGTGTCGACACTAATTGTGTATGCTCAGCTTTGTGATGCATCTAATTGGCCATATAAATAAAACATGTCAAGTCTTACCCAGCGCCACTGCCATTCCCACAGAGCAGAGCATCCCCGCCGGTAGGGAGGTAGTAGTAATTCTCTACAGGAGAGAGGACACAGAGGGACGGTCAGTCTGAGCCACATCACCGGAGTGAAGCAGCCAATATGAAGAAACAGAAAAGATCGACAGGGGAACAAATGGACAATATGCGCCCGCTGGGATTGTACTCAGTGTGGTGCAACACTGAAGAGCCAAGAGAAAGGTGGTGATTTGTTTTTTGTTTTAACACCCAGCCACATTAGTCATTCTTTTGGCATGTTTTTGTGTGTGTGACATAAGCACAATTTCAAATCAGCCACTCTGCGCACATATACCACTTAACTGACATGAAATCACAATTGTGCCATTAAGATGACAGATTTCCAAACATCAATACCATTTTTATCAGTTCCCTCTCTGTCTTCTCCTCTTGCTCTGGTATCACCTTGTTGTGTAGCTGCTGCACGTCTCCTCGATACCCTGCTGGCGGTCAGTGACTCACCCTCCTCTAACAATTTGGGCTGCTCATGCCACACAGATGGGCCATGAGAGAATGATGAAACGTAGTGAAGGGGTGAATGTAGAGGGTTTTATTGTTGTGGCAATTATCCACCACATTTGCTGCATTCCCCCACCAGCCCTTGTTCAAGAGCACAGACCCCGGCTCCCAGCCATAGCTGTCACTCCCTATCACGGCAGCAGGCCAGTGTGCCTGACCTCCCCCCGCCCAACACACATACACACACTGACCCATCTGTATATGAAGTAGTCGGTATCTGACTCAGGCCATCTGTGGTGGATGCTAACTTGACCGCAGTTAACCCCTATATGTGGCTATAGACACGCTGTGGCTTACTTTCATCACTGATGTGCTCTGTCCAGTTGACGGTGTACTCTGTGTTGTTAAACATCATATCATCGACAGTGATGTTGCTGCTATTGGTGGTGGTGTTGTAGATTGGCTGACGCACGCACTTTTGCCTCAGGTTGCCCATGAAGAGCTGCAGGCCAATGAGGGCGAAGACACTGAGGCAGAACACGGTGAGGATCATGACGTCTGACAGCTTTTTTACAGACTGGATTAGTGCACCAACGATGGTCTTCAAGCCTAAAAGGGAGAGAGAGGGCAAGGGGGTGGGAGGACATCGAAGAATAATTACCGCCTGCTAATTACAGCCACAAGCTTGTATAAAGAAGAAGTTGCTAATAAGAGCTTACAGTTACAAGCAGCCAGGAGGATCTGCAGTGGAGGTTCCTGTATGAACTGTTCGCTGTCATACAGGAACCAGGCCGACACAGATCACTACTAATCATGGATAAACCACTAGAGAAAGTTATGTTCTACATGGCCATTGTGGTGCTATGGTATTGGTCTCTAGGGAAATGGTGTATGTGTGTTTGTTAAACTGTCCTCTTTTTAGTGCAACTACAAAGACTTGTGCACGAGCTCATGGTTATTCCATAAGGTCAGTGAGGGTGTATCCAAGCGCACATGGCGTTTTCATTAATATAGGCACAGCACTATGTGCAAAAGAGTTGTCAAGTGGAATACAAGCTGGTGGGCAATTGGGCTGATTAATGGTTATCCTCTCAGCCACATTACTACAGTCGTCTCATACCTTTCACATGCAGCCGATAGTGGCACTTAATGAAAAAACACATTACCAAATAGAGAGGAATGTCCACACCATCTTTTATAGGTCAGAAAATAATGTGGTTGTTGTTTGGGAGGTTCAGAGTGGAAATATGAGAACAATGATGTGCTTCTTCTGTCACTCATATTACTTGTGCAAACATTTGCATAATATTGTGTAATGCTTTTCATATTTCTGCAGATTTTCAATAAGTATTTACCACATGCTTGTCGATGGAACCAATAATTAAATGTATTATTTGCCATTTTGGGAAATACAGTTGCTGCTGAGAGATGAGAAGCTTGACACAAGTTTTGTGTGTGTATTAGCCAGCAGCGGATTAGCTTAGATCAGTTTAGCATAAAGACTGGAAACTCAGGCTCACTAATGAACCGACTGTATTTTGTTTATCTGTGCAAAAAAATAAAGTGGTAAGTTGCACTTTTAGGTTAGGTTACTTTATTTATACCCATAGGTAAATTTGTCTTGCATTCAGATCAAATGACATCCATGACACATTCACAAAATACAAGAACACAACATATAACATAACACCTGGTGCCTACACTGAACGTAATAAAAGTACAGGGCTCCACCAAAAAAAAAAAAAAAAAAAAAAAAATCCGAAGAAAACCTAAAATTACTTACAACATATTACTACAGCCTATTTAACTAACAGCAGCAGGGACAAAACTATTTCTATACCGCTGCGTTTTACATCTCGGGACGGCAAACCTTCGTCAAGAAGGAAGAAGCCGAAAGTGGCAGTACAAGGGATGGGAGTCATCATTTAAAATAGAAGTAACTACTCTCTGTACCCGTCTACTGTACAGGGCTGCTAAACTTAACTGTGACTCCCCAAGCAAGCGACTAGACCACTTAATTACTTGATGCAAAGATTTCCTCTGTCTTAACGTTATCTGACCAAACCATGACACTAGAGAAAACAATAAAATAGATTCAATAAAAGCTCAATAAAACATACTCATTAAGGTTCGGTCAATATGAAAACAAGCAAGTTTCCTTAAACAATGTAGACATTGCTGACCCTTTTTACACACCATTTCACAGTTCTCCTCAAAACTCAATTTGCTGTCAATGATCGTCCCAAGATATTTATTGCCATTTTTACATTTTGGTTTAATAAGCAATGTATTAATTAGAGGTGGTATTTGGTGTATTAGTGTTTCCCTCTATTTCCAGTCTTTATGCTGTGCTAAGCTAATCACCTCTTGCTGAAGCTTCTGAGTAGTATCAGTCTTCTCATTGAACTTTCAGTGAGAAAGCAAAAAGGCACATTTCCCAAAATGTCAAACTGTTTATTTAACTGTGATGTTGCATCTCTAATCATTAATAATCTTTACCAAAGCACCACTCAGTTTTGCTGCAGCTCTTCTCCATCCTTTGGACCATGCACACTGTGCTCATAAAGAAAATATTTCCCGGTACTGCTTGTACTAGGCTTTGCACTACTACAAAAATAAAGCCCAACAAGTTTAAAGTGACATCTATGACATCTAGAATAAGTAATATGTATTGTTGACTTAGATGATCCTCTTTACACAAGGAACCATTGACAGTTTTCCTGGATGCTTGAAATGTGACCTTTCTGTTAGTTTGTGTCATGAAAAGTGCTTAGCGTTCAGAATGCTATTACCCAATCACCACTAACCACATCACAAAAAAAAATAAGTAAACATTTAACAAGACATGCACAGGAAAACAAGGTAAGGAGGAACCCTACACAAACAAGTGCTTGCCACCAGAAATGTGGCAATGTCTCATGCTTTGCAATATCTCGTGCAAAAAGGAAAAACAAATAGTGCACAAAATCTACTTTTAAGCCTCCCAAGGCAAGAATAAATAAAAATAAAAAAAGAATTCTGCCTTAAAGGATGTATTTAAAAGCTAAGAATCCTGTCAATCTGTGCAGATTGGAGCCAGATTCCAGCTTTTACTGGCCTTGGGACGAAGGCAGCATGAGGGACAGCGATGGGCGTCGTCAGGCTTAGCTACAGTGTGATAAGCTGAGAGGGGGCAGGTGCTTGGATGTTAGCAAAATGCCAGTTAGCCATTAGCATTTCATTAACCCTACAGGCCTGATGGCTCTCTCACCTGGGATAACTGATATAGTTTTCAGGGCTCGTAGAACCCTGAAGGTTCGCAGTGCTGAGACATTGCCCAGGTCCACAAACTCTGTGACATATCTGTAAGGGAAGGGAGGGGAGGGGGAGGGTAGAGGGGCATTTGGAAATGGTGTGGGGCGCACACACATACACACACAAATCAGGCACCCATACACATGGCGTGACAAGACAAAAGGAGGGTCATGGGAGGCAGGGGGAGAGGAGGGAACGGCAAACGGTCACACACAGAGGACAAATGGCAGGAGTGCAGGCAGCATGCACAGGCAGCCTTACCTGGTATTACTGAGATAGTTTTCAAAGCTCGCAATACCCTGAACGTGCGCAGGGCTGAAACATTGCCTAGGTTTACAAACTCTGTTATATACCTGCAGGATTAAATGCACAGTTACTACACAGCATTGCACAGGCAGAAACCCATTATACCGATCTGAGAAATGAAACCACCACTTATAAAAGCGTCATCATTTACATAAGGGACAACAAGATTACAGTCTTATTTTATTATGTAAGAAATTCATATCAACAGATACTATGATCATGAAATTAAATAACATGCACAGTGTAACCTGATGCTGAAGGCTTTATTTTGTTGTTTCAAGAAAAGCAGCTGAAGTTATTTAAGTGTGGGACAAATATGGGCCGAGATACCATGTGCTTTGGGGGTGGACATCCATTATATCAGAGTTGAGCTGAGATTTCTGGTCCTGCTCTCAAACACACACTAATAAGCTGCAGATTATTATGCCCCTCTTCTTTCCCACTATTCTTCTTCTCACATTAAGTGGGACTTAACAGGTTGTGGGGGCTGATTAACTTTAAAAGCATATGGCTTCTTAATCTACGCCAGACCATGTTATGCTGATCCTAACCATGCTTATCATAATACTTACGCCATGAGGATAACACTGAAATCCAGCCAGTTCCATGGGTCCCTGAGGAAAGTGAACTTCCCCACACAGAAGCCCCTGGCCAGAATCTTTATGAGGGACTCAAAGGTGTAAATCCCTGTGAATGTGTACCTGGTAGACAAGGAGAGGAAGACAAGAAATGAAAACGCACACAGACAGAAATAATGATGTTGGTTAACAGCTCCGTTGCTATAACAAATTCACTGCTTGCAGTGCTGTGTGGCGTTAGTCAACAACAGTCTGTCTAATATTTTCTATGTATCCTATTTCATGGTTTTCCCAACAATAGAAAGGCATAGGTGCAGCCCTAAGTGTTTTTGTGGAGCACCAAAGTCAAAGGAATGCAAAAAGATGACCTATCAAAATGAACTTAAAACAACAGCGAGTTATATGCACTGAAAAACGATGGCAATTTGATCTCAAAATGAAACATAAGCTGGTAACAGGAATGACCTGTCAATCAACAATCAGTGTTTGGACGAACAATTGTGTGATTGGCAGCATGGCCAAGCTAATCAAACAGCTGACTGGATATTTCTCTCAAAGAACACATGAAGTGGGATATAACTTCTTGTGAAAGGTAACAACAGAAATAGCAGAATTTAGCTTGTTTTACAAGTAAAATTAAAAGGAAGAAGAAAGAAATTGCTAATGTAGCTAACACGTGCTGAATTAACTAAGTTATGTTAGCCAAGGAAGCCATTTAGTTAACATTATATAAATAATGTTAAATTAAAGTTTCCTACAAATAATTTTAACCCCCCTCCTCACTTCAGCATAGTCACAACATGTTTTAAATGTTTGTACATGCATTACTGTTACTTTCAGAATAACCTTGCACCTACATGTGATGTGCATCAATTCAATTTCTATTTTATTTGTACAGCGCCAAATTACAACAAAAGTCATCTCAGGACACTATACAAAGTACTATTATTATAATAGAGGAAAAACCCAACAAATCCACCTTGAGCAGCCCTTGGCGACAGCGGGGAGTAAAAAAAAAACTCCTTTTACCAGAAGAAACCTCCAACATGAGTTCCCATCATGCTTGGGGAGATTCAATCAGGAGGTATTATGTTTCCATGGAGTTGTTAACTATTGCCATGTTCATGTCATATCAGAGTTAGTGTTATTGCAAGTGTCTTATAAATAGTATTCACGTTAACATTCGAGTCATACTATAAATACAGCTGAGATGCTCAGAAAGCTCAGATATGGCTAACTTGGTACTTACTAACACAGAAGTGCCTGAAGACCAAACAGAAAATTATGACTCACATCCACAAAGTCTACTGTTCAGTGCAATTAAACCCACATTTAATGAATATGGTGTTAGTGTCAATGCACAGTATCTAATTTTTCCTAATGCCAACTCTGTACACTAAACCACAGTCTCAGTTCATTAAGATGGAAATCCTTCCATCTTTACCATCGATCTAATATGACATGAACATGGCACACACTGTATCACTCCCTCAGGGCTTTCCCTCCTATAGAAAGGCTTAGATGAAGCACCTAAGTGTTTTCGCAGCACCTCAAGCTGAATGAACATAAAATGGCCTTTAGGCGACATCAGAATGAATGTACGCTATAAACAGGGAGAATTCTATGGGCTGAAAAAAAAAAATAGAATTTTGACCATATGTACAATAAGTGTTGCCAGCTTTTATCCACAAATATCCTAAGGATAATGGTCAAAGACAACTAAAATAACCCAAAATGTCCTTCAAATAATTTCAAACTCCCCAGCCACCACAACCCCCTTGACCTTGACCGCACCTACAGTAAGACGTCTGAAAACCCTGCTCCCTATCCATTATATAGTGCACCACTAGCCGTAGATGTACAGACAAAAACTACTCAGTTACTTTTGCTACTGAGGAAAACATCTAAACATAAAGAATAGGCAACATCTGAAATGAGAGTATTTGTGATTTTTAGGCAAATTGGTAGATGTTTGTTCATCAAAGACACTGTAGCCCCTGAAGGTGCAGAACACAGTGATTTCAGGAATGTGTATATCAAAACTGTAGAGGAAATGTAGGACTTACTCTACATTCTTGGCCCATTCTGGGGGATTACTGAGGGTCATGAAAGCACAGTTGGTCAGGATAGTGAACATGATCAACATGCTGAACATCGTAGGAACAACATTAAGGAACACAACATGTGTGGTTTTTGAGCATAAGTCCACTTTAAACCAAACCTGACATTTCCCCATTCATCACTGATACAAAAAATAAAATAAATTCTGTTTGTTTCTCTTCATCAATAGTCTCAACTAATCATGGCATGTAGTCTTCAACATCAGGTCATTTAAATATCTTTTGTCTGATAAACCCTTTAAAATAAGTCAAACTGTGTCCATAGCAAACTCTGAAAGGATATGAGTGTACTAAAACTCTAATAGCTATCCTCCTTAGAGGGTTGAAGGGGTTTAAGATGTACAAGGCAGGAGTGGCGTTGAATCGGAAGATTGCCTTCCCACGATTCAATACTATGAAAGTCTGAAAGAGAGACAAATGAAAAAAGTATTAAAATCTGTATCAAACAAAGCTGTGATTTGTCCCTGTTCGTTAGAAATGAGAGATGTGGCTCCCAAAGGAGACAAAACAGTACCAGTAAATCATACCAGTAGAGAAGCTGTGTGCACCCTCTGCACACGGTCTGTGGTTGTTAATATAATGAAGCTGGATGAGTCAACCAGGACAGGACATGCTTGACATGGTGGTTCAACTGGCACAACAGCTCAGAACACTACAACAGAATAGCATTTAACACTTCTGTTGACGGTAGCCAGTCCTTTAAAGGCTCTTGACTTGGCACATTTATGTTGAATTGGGCTTTACATATCGCTTGTTGAAATACTAATGTTGTAACTGTAGCGTGCAGACACTAGAGTGGTTTCAGTCTTGTATTCTAAGTCTCGGCATAGAAATGAGGATAAATCCATTAATGCTGAAGTATTTCCTAAAGTAAAACTGCTATCAGCAAAATATACTTAAAATATCTAAATGAACTTTCTAAAGAGAATATACATTTAAGGACTCAATTTCACATGAAAATGACTTAATGAGGGTTTTTTTTTCCATAGTATTCTATACATATAAGGTTTGTATGAAAAATCCTAATCTTAAACTATTGCTGTCAAATAAATGGAGTAAAAGCTGCAACATTTCCCTCTTCAAGTACAGCAGCATAAACATGAATACATAATTAAAAGTAACTTAAATTTATACTAAAGCCAGGAAGTGAATGTATTCAGTTGTTTCCTCAGCAGAGGTTTGTCTTATGTGGGAGGAAATTGCTACATCTGCCCATGTGGTTCCTTAAAATAGTTTGTTGTTGTGCAATTAAGCTTTTCCAGGCTAAAAAGCTTGGACTAGAAAGTACAGACCGGTGAGATATCAAAATTCAGCGCTTAAGTTATACCATAACTGACAGTCAGTATACATCATGATGCTTTAAGGCCAGCACAGTCAAAGGATCTTACAGATCTTCATCCACATGTTAGTATTCTATTTCTATGATTCCTCTGAACCTGACCTTCTGACTGCTGTAGTAGGGGTCCAAGTCCTCCAAAGGAGTGGACACCAGGTGGGGAGGGATATCCCCATAAATGAAGGGGAGAGATTTCCCCGCCTCCAGGTCACTATTGGGCTTGGGCCCATTTTCATCATCGCTGTCGCTGCGGCGCTCCGCCCGTGGTCTCCGGGCCTCCTCCTCGGCGATGCGCCTTTCGATGGTGGCCAGCGACTCGGGGACGAAGGGGCGGAAGCTGTCAGGTCCGGGCGGTACAAGCAGCTGTGCCATCTTGTCATCCTGCTCCTTCAGAGGGCAGCAAGGGGCTCAGCAGGTACAGGGAGCTGCAGCAAGAAGGGAATAAGGGTGAATCAGGTCAGAAGTCAAGGCCAGGCTTCTGAAAATACAGTGAGGAACAGAAGTATTTGAACACCCTGCGATTTTGCAAGTTCTCCCACTTAGAAATTATGGAGGGGTCTGAAATTCACATTGTAGGTGCATTCCCACTCTGAGAGACAGAATTAAAAAAAAAATTCAGGAAATCACATTGTATGATTTTTAAAGAATTTATTTGTCTAGCACTGCTGAACATAAGTATTTGAACACCTGAGAAACAGCAAGAATTCTGGCTCTCAAAGACCTGTTACTGTGCTTTGAAAAAGTCCACCTCTACTCCACTCATTAATCTAAATTAGTAGCACCTGTCTGAGCTCTTTAAAGACACCTGTCCACCCCACAGTCAGTCAGATGCCAACTACCGCCATGGGCAAGACCAAAGAGCTGTCAAAAGACACCAGAGACAAAATTGTGGACCTCCACAAGGCTGGAAAGGGCTACGGGGCAATTGCCAAGCAGCTTGGTGAAAACAGATCAACTGTTGGAGCAATTGTTAGAAAATGGAAAAGGCTTAAGACGACTGTCAGTCTCCCTCGGACTGGGGCGCCAAGCAAGAACTCACCTAGGTGGGGTATCACTGATGATAAGAAAGGTAAGGAATGACATGAAGAGAGCTGGGACCACAGTTTCAAAGGTCACTGTCGGTAGAACACTACGCCGTCATGGTTTCAAATCATGCATTGCACGGAAGGTTCCCCTGCTCAAGTCATCACATGTCCAGGCCCGTCTGAAGTTTGCCAAAGACCATCTGGATGATCCAGAGGAGGCATGGGAGAAAGTCATGTGGTCAGATGAGACCAAAGTAGAACTTTTTGGTCTAAACTTCACTCGTCGTGTTGGGAGGAAAAAGAAGGATGAGTTGCATCCCAAGAACACCATCCCTACTGTGAAGCATGGGGGTGGTAACATCATGCTTTGGGGGTGCTTTTCTGCGAAGGGGACAGGACGTCTGCACTGTATTAAGGAGAGGATGAATGAGGCCATTTATTGTGAGATTTTGAGCAACAACCTCCTTCCCTCAGTCAGAGCATTGAAGATAGGTCGTGGCTGGGTCTTCCAACATGACAACGACCCGAAGCA